TAGGTCTCTGATAATTGCATCAAAAACAAGTGGACAAGAGAACTTCCAACACTTCAAAGAGACTTACGAGATTATTGAGATAGATAACAAATATATATATATATATATCACTAGTTCCAAAAATTATAGCATATAAACAATAACACCTTATAACCACATGCAAATTTGTAGAACTAATATGAGTAATTAAATAATTAAGTAATGAATTATTGGCACCTAACTCTTTGTTGTTTTAAATAAACGTGGTTACATTTTCATATTTCGATTAAACATTGGCATAAAAATTTGATGAAAAAAATAATACAAGTGTACGTAAAATTTATGGACAATAAGAATATAAAACATTATAAAAATATAAATAATAAAGGTCAAAAGGAGTAGATCAAAATGTTAATATAATTTAAATCTCCAAAGATTTAAAGATTAATCAAACTTTAATTCTTTATTAATAAACAAAACAAAGGTTGTGCGAGACTTTGTCAATATTTAATCATTCTTCAATTAACCTAATTAATTACGGAATAATAATTAATTATCCTTTTTTTAATTGTAAAGTGCATCAGCAGCCGTAAATAAATTAATGATTTATATATGAACACGTGCTAAAATGATATATAATTATCCAACTTACCTATGTTTCTATTTTCATACCTCTAATTTAGAATTAATAGTTTTAATTTTAAAAAATAATTAATTTTAAGTTGGTATTAATCATAATCATAAATCATTTGGCCATTAATTCGAGGATCGTCTAATTGATCAATAATTTGAGTGATTTTTTAATTAGGGCCGTTTAGTCTCAATAATCGAGCCTTCTTTAAGGTCTTACGATGCTCGCAACTTAATATCATATTAGGAACCACGACTCTTCACAATTATATAATGAAGACAATAAACATAGAACTACTATATATCATAATTTTCTTAATTAGTTTTAACGGGTATTATTGAAAAATATTTATGTCGATAAGACGTTAATTTTAAAAAATAAAACATAAAGATCTCGGTGTCGATGGATGTCTTTCTAGCCTAACAAAGAAATCTTTATTAAGCATTAAATAAAATACATAAAACAATTCATTATTAGGTCAATGATTGTCATATTAATGGGTTTTCAAAAATAATCATTATATTAATTGAAAAATATTAAACAATATATATTCACTCATCGATTCAATTATTATTAGGTCTCATGTCAAAAAAAGTAAATTAATCCCAAAAATTAGAAATAAATAAATAAATTATGGGTAAAAAAATGAATAAATGATGGTTTAATTTGTAAAATCCACGTGGAGCGATTAAAAAAATGTTTTTTTTTTTTAAAAAAAGGCAAGAACTTTTATTATTTTAAGCAGAGGACTGATGTGTTTGCCTCAATAAAGTGAAACCAAATACGAACAAAACCAAGGGGAAATCAAGCCGTGGTTAAAAAAGATAAAATAATAATAATAAATAAATAAATAAATAAATAAAATGTCAAATGATTGTAGTTTACTGTTTTGATGTGTCCCATTTGTGGACTTCCTCGCCATCGATTTTCTTATTTATAGCTCGAAAAATATTAGAATTAAGAAAAAAAATCACTAATTTATAAATATGGAACACTGTCTTAGTTGGTATGAGATCTTATGGGAGTCATTCACACACGGCTCCACATCACTCAGTACTAAAGTAGTTGAATCGTACAATTGGGTTAACCCTGACATCCGTAGATGGCAATTGGAGTGAACGGAGAGTAACCCAGTAATCTTCTCCATCAAGATGGTGAAAAACTAAAAGTAAACTCACGAGAGGGAAACAAAACACTTTTTGTAAGGAGGTTCTGACGTTGATATGTACTAGGTCAAAGCGGGACGATAGAAGTGTATTGGTGTTAATTTGTACGAGAAAAGAACCAAAAAAAAAAAAAAAAAAAGAAGGTGCAAGAATCTAGAGGTTAGCTACCTGACAAGAGTGTAAACAGAACAAGACATCTGGGGTGCCACGCAAATTGAGTCAGTTATATGCCAAATTTGGATCCACCCAAAAATGGTTACAAAATTCACCGTCGCGGTCGCCGTCGTGGTGTGGTAATTGTAGATTAGAAGAAAAAAAAAGGATGAGGAAATTAGAAGAAATGTGTGGTAGAAGAACTGCACTGCAATGGTTGCATATAATTGCAATAAATAAGAGGGAAGAGGACCACATGGCAGTTAAGTGCATTAATGAAAGAAAAGAGAGAGATTTACACGAGATATTTCAACAACACTCCAACCAAACCCAAATATCACACTCCCAAATTGGTCAACATACATGGAAAAAAGGAAAAAAAGAACAAAAAAAAGGGCTTCTTAATTAACCCGAAAGGAAAACTTTAATATCGATCAATCTAATTACGATAATATCAAACCGAATGGAAGAACATTTACAGGGTCTTACAAAAAAAAAAATGTTAGATTTTAATTAATAATCCCATAAGAAATTACTGTCTCCGATTCCCATTTCGTCGATAATGTTGTTGTTGTTATTGTTGTTGTAGCTGGAATCGTCCATGGTTCGTAACCACGGGGGCGGGTAAACCCAGCCATCGGTGGAGTCCATGAGGACGAACTCGTTATTAAGGTAATTGGTGGTGAGACTAGGCAGCTTGACGATTTCGCTGAGCTCGTCGGAGTCGTCGGTGGAGTATTGAAAAGGGTCCATGTGGGCGGCCTTGGCAGCGGCGGCTTGAACGTCGCGAGGGGCGAAGGAGACGGGGCGGGGAAGGGAGTGAGCGAGTTCAGGGAAGTTGAGAATAGCGGAATTACCTTTGATGGACAAGGCAGCAACGTCGTGGGCTCTAGCGGCCATCTCTGGGGTGGGGAAGGTTCCTAACCAAATGCGGGATTTCTTGCGAGGCTCGCGGATTTCGGACACCCATTTGCCCCAAGCGCGCATTCTTACGCCGCGGTAGAGTGGGTGCTTGCTGGAATCACGAACGCGCTTGTTGTTGGGGTTGGATTGGGCGTTGGTGTCAGAGGAGGATGGTTGGGTGATTTGCGATGGTTGTGTTGCTGACATTGTGATAGGCGTTGGGGGCGTTGTGGGGGCGTTGGGGCGAGGGAAGTGTTTGGTGAATCGATTGGGAAATGGGTCGTGGAAGGTCTTATAGTATAAAGGTGGAGAGAGGGGCACGAGAGAAATGGGTGTTTCTGATACTTGTTGCTTGGCCTAAGAGGTGCGTAGAGGGGGGGCGGTGGTCCCTTTCAACTCCCTATTTATTTTTGCTTCTTTACAGATACGCTCTTTTGCCATTTCCACAAATTATCTTAACCCACCTATCATTTAAGACTCGTCTTCTTCTTGAAACTCCCAATTTTACCATTCCTTGTCTCTCCATCCCATAACTTCATTTAACTCCTCGAGATTCTATTAGTTAGAGAGGGGAATGAAACATTATTTATAAGAGTGTGGAAACCTCTCCCTAGCATACGTGTTTTAAAACCTTGAGAGGAAGTCTGGAAGAGAAAACCCAAAAAGAACCATATATGCTATTGGTGGACTTGGACCGTTACAAATGATATCAGAGCCAGACATCGGACAGTGTGTCAGTGAGGACGTTGAGTCTCAAAAGGGAGGTGGATTGTGAGGTCCCATTTTGATAAAAGAGGGGAACAAATGTCAATGAGGATACTGGGCTCAAGGTGGATTGTGAGATCTCACATCAGGTGGAGAGGAGAACGAAACATTCTTTATAAGGGTGTGTAAATCTCTGCATATTAAAATCTCGAGGGGAAGTCCAAAAGGAAAAGTCTAAAGAGGGCTGAAAGACAAATCCAAAAAAGACAATATTTGCTAGCTAGTAGTGGACTTGGGTCGTTACCGCGATTCAGTAAGGAAACTAAACATTATTTCCATGAGTAAGAAACTTTTCGGGAAAACTAAAAGTAAATACACGAAAGCTTATATTCAAAATAGACAGTATCATCTCATGTTCCAATGAGATAAGGATCGATAGTTCGATTGTAACCTAATTTAAAATCATAATGACATAGGTTTAACTACTTCGTTCCTTTATTTGCTAGATGAAACCAAACATGGTAAAAGATTATAACTAATCTTACTTACCAAAAGATTAGTTATGGTTAACCTATAGTCCACAAATAATGTTAGCCTACATGCCATTGCCAACATAAAGCAATAGCTTTTACTAGGCAGTAAAGACGAATCAAATAGGTTCATCTTTTTGTACTCGTTGCAAGTACGTTCTCCACCGCAACAACTCCATCACTCTTTCTACAGTAAAAATTAAACGACGAAATTGACGTGACAGCTGATACGTTAAAATTATAACAGATACGTAACAGTAATTATTTTATCTCGAAACATATTTTTACAATCGAATTTTATACATTATTAGCGGTCGGTATTGAGTTACGTGTGCAACATAAAGATTGGAGTTGTACGGGGTACAAAATATCATTTCAACCTCCCCATAAATTGGAGGTCTCCATGAGATTCATGAATCCGTACTAATCAAAAACATAATATGTACATATATATATACAAATTACACGTGGTCGTTGCCTAGAGGTACACATCATCATTCATCGTACCCAATGGCCTCTTTTTGAACTTGCTCCAACATTAACGGCCCATGTCTAGATGGGCCTTCACTTCTCAGGCCCATTATCTCTACAAAAACCAATATTATCAGGCACGCGTATAGTCAAGCCTCGGGCCACGTTTGAGAAAAATATTTTAAAAAACATGAACGAGAGAATACGTTGAATTTTAAAGAAAACGTTAGAGACGAATAAGTAACAACCACAACTTTGATAACATGTAACCTAATAACTATTCACATCTCTTATATTACATTTTGGGGGCATTTTATCCCTGACCGGTGTAGATATGATTATGGTGACTGGTCATATACCCCGACACAACAAGAATAGTAAAGGTCAATCTAATATGAAAGTAAGTAAAAGTTGTTTGGAACAGATATGCGACCATGGATAATACATCCTGGACAAGCATGATTGAGGGCAAGAGCGGTCGGAATCATTTCAAGTGGGCACGAAAGTTGATCATATATTGAATCCCCTCAACCCACATCTGTTTTTCTCCTTTCCCACTGCATTCAAATTCTATTGTTCTATCTGTTGTTACAATGCCAAAGTAAGCCCTTGGCTCGCTATCCGTCTCCCTTTCCCGCCCCGGCCATGCCGTAACGTTGCAGTTCACACCCGAGATTACGCCTGAAACAGAAAATGGTTCATCAGTATAGATGTTGTGTAGGCAACTGAGAAGATGATTTGTTCTTTGAGTGAAGCTTTGTCTTACATTTTTTGTTCTTTGTAAATGTTGCTGCCATATGCCTGCTTTTCAATTTTGCCACAACCTGTAGACGTATATTCTACTTCTGAATACTTATTTCCAATTGCAAGAGTGACGATGAAGAGAAGATTAGCAGAGTATAACGAAAGAAACTTGCTGTATTGTTATTGTTAAATAGAAATGTCAATCATCCCGACACACTTGTCACAATCGCACTTTTCTTGGTAGTGGACTTTACGATTGTGCGGGACTTACTTCCAACATCAAGTAAGTCGAGCCAATTAGTATTCGTGCAACAGTCTAAGTCCATCGTTAGCGGATATTGTCCTTTTTAGACTTTTCCTTTCAGGCTTCCCTTCAAGGTTTTAAAAACACGTTGATAGGAAGAAGTTTCCACACCCTTATAAATGGTGCTTTGTTCTTCTCCCCAACCGATGTGGGATCTCACAATCCATCCTCCTTCAGGACCCAGCGTCCTTGCTAATGCTCGTTCCCTTCTCCAATTGATGTGGGACCCCCTAATCCACCCCTTCGGGACCTAATGCCCTTGTTGACACACTACCTCATGTCCACTCCGGACTCAGCCTCCTCGCTGGTACATCGCCCGGTGTCTGGTTCTGATTTTCATTTGTAACAGCCCAAGTCCACTACTAGCCGATATTGTCCTCTTTGGGGTTTCTCTTCCAGACTTCCCCTCAAATTTCTAAAAACACATATGCTAGGGAGAGGTTTCCACACCCTTATAAAGGATGCTATGTTTTCCTCCCCAATCGATGTGGAATCTCACAATTCGCGTCGTCTACGACCGGGCAACGTATGCTCAAGCCTCTGACCCCTTTCGGGAGGAAGGTTTTAGAAAACAAGAGCAGAGAAATTTTTGAAAGCGAGTTTGAAAGTAAGAATGAGAGAAGATTTCAAAAGCAACTTAAATAACATATAACTTTCCGGATAGGGAGAATTTGACAACTATCAACCATTTCTCGTCTTACCTGCCAGTTTGAATTTATGTTGAAAGAAACTTGCTTCCAGTGGAGAACCCCTGTGACCAGCATGTTTCTAGCCTCAGTGGGATAAACATCAGAATTTGATAATTTGAGACAATATTCAAGTTAAAATGATCTAACCAATACCTTTCCTTGTGCGTTTGAGAAGCTCTCCTCCCCTGGAAACATGGTTGATTGCTATCAACATGTTTGATTCTTTCCCTTCTTCTTCAACTTTATCCTCACCCACTCCAAAGTTTGTGCCTCCCAACCCTTTTTCAAGCCTTGACCTTAAGGTTGCAGCTCCTCTTAAAGCTGCGTTAATAAAGAAATGTTTGAGAGTACTATGGATTTTGCTTCATCAGTTGTGAAAATTAGCTGATTATGAGGCTTTTTCCAAGCAACCTGTAGCTGCTCCTGCTGTTAGGGTCATGATATCTCCATTAGTTCTAGCATTGATTGCAGAGTTAACTACATTCAAGATATGTTCATGGCTAGCTCCCATTTCCTCTGCCATCTCTATGCAATGAGATGCGACAAGGGCAGCTGCAGAAGCCATGGCTGATGATGTCTTTGAAGGCCATTTGTGATTACCCGATGATGTTTCACAAGATAAGAGTGATGCAATGAATGCTGCTACTGAAGCAGCAACACCTGCTACAGACACAGCTGCATGTAATTGAGCATTCTGTGATCTGATTTCCTGCTTCTTCCTCTCCTTTTGATCCTTCATCCACCTTCCCAATGTTTTATTACCTCTTAATATGCTCTTGTATAGCTGCATCAAAGAAACAAAAATGATGAATATGGTATTGTAACAGACCAAGCTCAAGCCCAAGCCCACCGCTAGTCGATATTGTCCTATTTGGACTTTCCCTTTAGGGCTTTCCCTAAGGTTTTAAAACGCGTCTACTAGGGAGAGGTGTCCTCTTTGGGCTTTCCCTTAAAGTTTTAAAACACGTCTACTAGGGAGAGGTGTCATCTTTGGGCTTTCCCTTCAGGGTTTTCCCTTGAGGTTTTAAAACGCGTCTACTAGGGAGATGTGTCTTCTTTGGGTCTTCCCTTAAGGTTTTAAAATGCGTCTACTAAAGAACAATCCCTCCAGGGCTCCCTCTAAGGTTTTAAAATGCGTCTACTACGGAGAGGTATCCTCTTTAGGTTTTCCTTTAAGGTTTTAAAACGCGTCTATTAGGGAGATGTGTCTTCTTTGGGCCTTCCCTTAAGGTTTTAAAACGCGTCTACTAGGGAGAGGTGTCATCTTTGGGCTTTCTCTTTAGGGTTTTCCCTTAAGGTTTTAAAACGTGTCTACTAGGAAGAGATGTCTTTTTTGGGCTTTCCCTTAAGGCTTTAAAAGGCATCTACTAGGGAGAGATGTTCTCTTTGGACTTTCCCTTAAGATTTTAAAACGCGTCTACTAGAAAGAGGTTTTCACACCCTTATAAAGAAAGCTTCGTTCTCCTCTTCGACTAATGTGGGATCTTACAGGTATACTTCCATGTATGTGCAAGTACTTTGAAGTAAGAGTGAGACATACCCCATTTCCAAGTAGTTGCTGGTTGGAAAGGAAATCTGGATTCAATGCTTGGTGAAGTAACAAAAGTTCCTACTCAAAATAGAATGCATGTGCAATTCAGAGAGATACTCTGTACCAATATAACAAATGAGGCAGCAAAAACTAATTCGTGTTGGTGGTGTGTGTACTCGAATGTGGGCTGCAGTCAGCTTCAAATTAAAGTACCTTCATTTCTTCACTTCCTCTTGGTGAAGCTGGAGGACTATCTCCACTGGGTAAGCGCCGAAGTAGCTGTAACATTAAGCAGAATTAATCAAAAAAGGGAGGAGGATTTGGCCTACGTATCGTTATCAACCTCACGGTTTATAAAACGTGTTTGTTAGGGAGAGATTTCCGCATCCTTATAAGCAATGCTTCGTTCCCCTCTCCAACCGATATGAGATCTTACAATCCACCTCCAAGGGAGGCCAGCGTTCTCGCTGGCACGCCACTCGGTGCTTGGCTTTGCTACCATTTGTAATGGCCCAAACCCACCGCTAACAGATATTGTCCGCTTTGACCCGTTACGTATCGTTATCAGTCTCACGATTTATAAAACATGTCCGTTAAGGAAAGGTTTCCACACTCTTTTAAGGAATGTTTTGTTCCCCTCTCCAATATAAGAGAGGAGGAAGAGGTATCTCACTGGCTCACTCAAGACTGAAGAATTTGAATCATGTGCATCAGCACTAAGAAAGCCAATCACTGAGTTCTGAAGACGACTAGGAGTATCATGGGCAGTGGAAAGAGCCTTAGAGAGCTCTTTGGCAGACAGGCTCCAAGATCTGCCAAGAAATTCCATGGACTCAATTGGAGTTTCAGGTAGAACAAACGAACCCGGCAACCAATTTGCAGGGCTATTTTCATCTATGTTCTCCAGCCGAGTTGATGAACATCTAGCCAAACATGAACTCACTGAAACCATAGCAACAACACACACACAGAGACAAGTAATCATTTAACCAAAACAATGATCACAGTAATGTGAAGAGAAGTGACTATGGATGCATGGCCTTACTTTCACTGTCTGAGTTAAGAGAGATGACCATGACCACTTGTTCCTTCAGTGAGCTCCTGAGGCAACAAGCGAGCCTCATTTGGGGTATTTAACAGAGAATGATGAAATAGAGGTATGGAGATTCTGTTACTTTATCGAGGAAAGTGAAAGCCAAAAAGAGTGCACGAATTCCACAAACATATATAAAAAGAAAGGACCCCATTACAAGGCCGATGGTGCATTTGTTTCTCAGCGGCTGTGTTCATGATTGCAATGGCTACTCATCTCTGTTCTTCATCGACTTTATCAGAAAGTAAAGTAACAAATCTTGAACAGAACTAAGCAAGCAAGTAGTAAAAAGAATGTCACCTTATTTTGCTAAAAGTTATGGCCTCTTTTCTTCATTCCCCGGAATAAACTCAGGTCCTGTCACAATTGTTTCTTTATTCACTCAAAAAACTAATGTAAAAGGCCTATGGACTTACGTCGAACAGTTAGCCTGCATTCGCAAAAAGAGCCTGAGATAGCTTAGATAAAGAGAACCGTATCCTCAACTTTTACTGCACACAAACATCTGATGATTGATTGATATACATTTATACCATATTCCCAACACGATATCCCACTTTAACCAAAGCTTTTAAAGTGTGCAAAATTTAAAATGCTTAAAAAGGGGATACATAGTTTAGTTTGCAATGCTGTCGTACGATCCCACGTTTGGGGGAGGAGAATGAAACATTCTTTATAAGGATGGAAAACCTCTTCCTATCACACTCCGTTTTAAAAACCTTGAGGGGAAGCTAGACATTAGACAATGTGTCAGCGAGGAGGTTGAGCCCTGAAGGGAGGTGGATTGAGGGTCCCACATTGATTGGAGAAAGGAACGAGCGCCAACGATGACACTAGGCCTCAAAGGGGGTGGATTGTGAGATCCCACATCAACGAAGCATTGTTTATAAGGGTGTGAAAACCTCTTCCTAGCAGACGCGTTTTAATATCTGCTAATAGTGAACTTGGGGTATTAGGACCGTACCTTTAGGCTTGTCTAAGAGCCACCGGGAATCAATAATATATGATAATGATGATCAATAATTACGATAATCATAATGATAATCCCAAGGATGGCAGACCCACCCATTGGAAGACGCCATCTATGCCCTTTGCAACTTTCATAATTGCTGCTGTTATATATAATCATAGAAGCGGGTCATAGAGCACTATCCCTACCACCTCCTGAATCTCACCCACTCAACAACAACAACAACCATTCATATTTCTTCATCAAATTGTTCATAAATTTCACAGAACAACATAAAGATTTGATCCTCACGCTTACATTTATTGAACTAAGAACAGCTACTAACAAAATAATTGGATGTTGATCCAAAAAACAGAATCTGATTTAGTGGCACCATGTGGTTAGACCCATAATTTGAGGAAGGGGCAAAGGCAGAGTCAGTTGAAGCACAAGGATCATTATTAAAAGTGGCGAACAGCACTCATAGCATGCCAAGCCCAAACCCAAGCCACCGTTTTTCTTTTCCCTTCATCTGTGGAAGCCTTACAGTGAATCTTAGATTTTGCTGTCGGAAAAGAGATTTTATACCCAAAACAACATCAACACCAAACCCCATTACTCCATACATCATTAAACAGACACCCAATTCAGTTTCAGCTTTGAGTTCTTCATAATATGGACACAAAACAGAGTACGCATCGTACAAATCCCCCACAAATACTGAAAACAGAGCGAGGGTAGCTGATAGAAAGAACACAACCAAGAGGGAGGAGATGAGGAGAAGGAGAGTGAGTGCAATGAAGCAGCCATAGAGACAAGCAAGAGCTATCAGATCCAAACTGGGAACCATTGGATTGGTTCCTCCTGCAATCTTTTGGAACCCAGTTTGGTAATGGTTAAAAGTTGAGGGAAAGGAATGAGGATGGAGTGAGGTGCACTTTATGCTATGCTTGGTGAAATGAACTAAAGAAGAGGGAACTGAGTTTGTAGTGGAGAATTTCATTGGATTGATTGCTGAGCAAGGCAAATCCTTGCTTGTTCTTGTTTGCCACAAAAGAGAGTAAGAGGAGAAGGAATCTAGTTTGGACCCATTTCTGAAACACAGACCTCAATCAATCATGAACAAGATTATGAAATTTAAATCATAAAACTAAGAACCCATCAAATCAAATTGAATGATCTGTAAGTGTGTACAGTAGCAAGATCAAAGCAATCCAGTTTGACGCCTAAAAAAGTGATTCAAAATTGGTGACTTTTGGAATGAAAAAGAAATGAACACAAAAGCCAGTTCAAGGATGGTTTGGCAATTACAATCTCAGCAGCTGGGTCCTTCTGTACAATATGGAATCAACAAAAGTTGTTTATAAGAAAAGGAGATCAATATTTGAATGAAACTACAGTACTTCCCTCCATAAGCTTTGCCATTTGGACAGAGTAAAAGCTTGCAGTAGCTACATAAAGTGAATGTTCAGTCAATATATTTGAAAAATGCTAGCAGTAAGCGCACCGTTCATATCGCTCACCAACAACGCCAAACAATCCGACGCAGGAGAAACAATTTGAAAAATAATGGTGGACAATGGAAGGCCATCTGAGCTTATCGAGGGGGCGTGCTATTGTAGCCTTTTCTGGATGACATGAGGATAAACCATCAAAGTTATAACTCATATTGGTTTTGAATTGCAGACAATAGAACAAATCTTTTGAGTCTTTGTGAAGTCCAAAAAAGCCAAAAAGAGAGCTTCAAGTACTCACCTTCCTTTCAGATCTTGAATCTCATGTAAGTGAAGAAGTGACGTCGAGAATGTTCTTCATGAACCATTTGTGAGGATAAACTGCACTTGACGGTTTAAAATTGACGTTCCAGACCATGATTCTCGAGCAGTCTTCCAGTAAACCTTCCATTTGGCTTTCGTCTTCCACAATTTGCTCGATGAAGTCGCTTGCCTAGAAGAACATATCCATCAGTTGCCAGTTTTTTAGGTGCTACATATATATGAAAATTATGGAAGATTTGATCTATTTTTTTGTCATTTCTTATCCTCAAAGCAGTACAATTTCCAACTGGTTTGAGAATAAATGAACAGGAATAAAAACTAACTTGGAGACCATCTCTGATGGTATCGAGCTGCCTAACAGGTTCTAAAGTGCGTCGACGCCACCTCTCTGGATCCCAGAGTATGGTGCTATTGAAAGCAAAGCCTGATATTTCAGCATGAAACCTACGAAGTCTCATACTTGACTCATATACGTGCCATCCAATTACAAGACTTCCATTGCAAATGGGGCCTTCCAGAAAGGATCTACTAGCACCCCCTAAGAGTTTCGCCACTGGCCAAGTTCCGAATCGTCTACAAATGAAAGTTTTTAAACAAATGAACTAATGATAAGAGATGCAATGACTACACATTAGCCTAACCAAAGAAAAAGCATGTTTAAGAGAAGATACAAACAGTTTGTAACAGGTACCAACAGAATATCTTCCTGTGTATGCAGAGAAAGAAAACAGCAATGTTGACTCCACACTTTTTGAGTTAAAGAATAAATTTGTTTTCTCTTTATTACGATGACGATCTTCGGAAAAAAGAGATCACAAGTTCATGCTTTTAGACAGGAAATTGCGTAGATAAGAATGTGCTCGTAAAACATGCTATTCATAGGTAAGCAGGCAGCCCGTGCTGCTCATGTTTCATGATAAATGTTAATCTAACAGATCAGTACCGTAACAGCCCAAGCCCGCTGCTAGCACATATTGTCTTCTTTGGGTTTTCCCTTCAAGGGTTTTCCCTCAAAGTTTTAAAACGTGTCTGTTAGGGAGGGGTTTCCACACCCTTATAAAGAGTCGTTCCCCTCTATAATCGACGTGGGATCTCACAAGTACATTGATAGTCCAAAAATATTCAAAGAGAAACCACGGGTTTGATATGATCTAGTTTCTTAGTATTATCTCGAGCACTGAGGACACTACGAAAAAGTACAAGAATGAGGCAACTGATATGGTATATAGGAAATGGAAGATGAGAAAATTTTATTAACATATCTTCCTTGAACCAGAAATCTCCCAACTTAATTGAATCAAAACTGAGAAGCAAAAAACTGTCTGTACTAAGAGCCATTGTAACATTTAGTCCATCCTCATTGGTGCATACTCAAACAAGGCAAGTATTTCATAAGCATTAAGAAATCATACCTGATCTCCCTCATTTGTTCGAATAGATCAACCAAATAGACGTTATTCTCATCTGCAAAGTAAACGATTCCATCAAGGCGGTGTGTTTCAATGTGAGACAGGGCTAGATTTCTTTGATGAACTCTTCCATCTCTCATATCAGTTAAGTTTTTATTGCAAACAATATGTCTATACATAATCCCAGTACTCCTAAGTACAGCAGCTGTTTCATCTGATTGGGAGAACATCTCCACAACTATCCATAGAAGAGGCGGTTGGACCAACTTTAACGTGTGCGCCAATCGATTAAGATAATAGGATTGGAGCGGATGAGCAGACGTCGGGGTCACAATAATCAGTAGCTTTCGAGGCTCTAATTCTCGAGCAATTACATGGCTATCCAAATTAACATAAGAAACGTTATTATACATTAGCACCTCTGATTGTGTGGGGCTACTCTTAGTGTTGGTGCTGCTAGAACTATTCTGAGGCACAGAATTCTCATCAGTGGAGATCCTATCAAACTGGAAAGCTTGATATTCTGACATGACATTCATGGATAAGTTCGAGGATGCAAAAGGGGTAAATCCAGCAAGAAACCCAATGACAAAACACATAAAGAAATGGAACATAGCCCTCTTCCAAACTGGTACCTTTGATTTAGATTTGTCTATTGGTCTAGAAGACCTTGGTGAGTAGATACCAAGAGTGGCTGCTTGGGTCTTCAATGAGTTGAACAGGGAATCGTGCAGTCCAGTAGATTGAGGGTAGGTTTGAGGAGATAATGAAGACCTGGACAGGGGAGAACCTACTGAACACGCTTCTCCATTCATGGAAGCTCCCGGTCGAGGAACAGGGGACAAGGTTCTTCTAATAGAAGCCATGAAAAGAGAAATCTCACAAACCCCAGATTCCCAATGACACTATTACCGACCAGAGCTCCAAATCTACACCGAGCTAAGCTTTCCCATTGCAGCTCATCCTAGTGAGCTCTCAGTGGCATGTCGGAGAGTTTGACCCATCCATCCAAGTTTCCCCAAATTACTGGAGACTTCAAATCCAAATCCAGACCAGACCCAAACGAACCCCAAGAACCTAGGAAACCAATGATTGGAACCGTATCAACAAGTTCCAAAATCCTCCCAACATTATCAAACAAACCCAGAAAGAAATACACAAGACACAAAAAACCCAAGTTCCAATACCTGAAACAAGAGCGTTTTAACACTGAAATGGCGATCAGTTCCTGCTGCAACTAAATGGGTCGCCGTATAACACGCAGATTACATAAACAATCGGGACACTGTCCACAAATCTTCGCTGTAGAGCTGGATTTTAAAGCGGACTAGACCACCCAGTTGGATTGGAGCTCGTACTCAACTACTCTCTCACCTCTCTCATCCCCCAATAAGGAGATTCAGACAATGAATAAAAAATTTATGGTTTTCTTTTGTGAGTTGGGTTCGCGTCAGCGCCGTCGCTGGACCAAAAACGAGAGGCCTAGGCACATATGGCTACAATTCAAAATGGGTAGCAGTAGATATGGAAACATGAAGCCTTGCCTGCTTCCCCCGATTCATGACC